TCATGTGATAAAGTGTAAAACTCTGTGTACAGTAAGTACACTGTGATATACGCCAAACATGATTTTAGACTTTTTTCGTGATTGATCATAAGTAAGTGTAAAAACTAAAAATATATTAGATATATAGATTAATTTTCATTTTGCAGTAAAATTCAACTCTTTAATTGATAATATCGTATTTGTCACTCTTTTATTTATTTTGGATATTAATGGTTGGAGGACTATGTCTAGATATTTAACATGTCTACTGAATCTATTTGCAAGTTCTCGTGAAAGGAAACTAACTGTCGCAATATTATTCTAAACATTGACGTCATGTTTGTGAAATGAATGTAACTTTTGTGTTAGTAGACTAGAGATGGCAAACGGGTCGAACGGTTCGTCGGCGAGCAGCGAGGGCTCGTCAAATGACGAGCCCGTGCTGAGCCGCGAGTGAGCTCGACAAGCCCAGCAAGGCTCGGCTCATGGTATCGTGAAAAATTAAAGAAAAATTTTAAAAAAGGTGAAGAATTCAAAAAGCTCGTGGGGAGCCTGCTCGACTGGTGAGGTCGTGGCTCGAGTCGAGCTCGTGGGTTTAAGGGCCTAGTCGATTGCCATGACTAGAGTAGACTTTTGATTCAGTTAATTGTTGGATTTTCGAACGATTATCGACTTTCTTTAGAGGTATATAGAGTAGTGGACCCTTTGAAGTCATGGAGATATTAGCCATCTAACCTATTTATACGTTATGAATACGACATAGAACTCCTCAATCGATATCATCAATAGAATGATATCGCTCTCCTATGCAATTTGACTTGGGAGGCGAAGAATTTATATTGAAGCATCAAACACGTTTGTACCTAATTGTTTTGCGTGTTCACATGGAAGGAGGAAATTGATTGTCAAGAAATCACTCAAATAAGACATTTTACTTAAAAAAAAAACATAATTAAATATACACATGATAAGTATGTGAAAGATAATTGAATAAATGATAAATTTTATTTATGATATTCATACGTTCTTTATTTTTAATATTCATTTTCAATTATACATTCACACAATAAAATATTATAAGCTTAAATTAAAAAAAAAAAAAGAAGTTCCTACTTTTTAACCACACAATTTCCAAAAGATAACTATTCGGAACATCATTTTTCTCCAATTTCTCATTAAAATGGCCTTCAAATAGGAGCTTATTAAATTAAATAAATATAATTTAATTTAATTTCAATAGAATAATTTGGTATAATACTAATGGAAAAATTAATTAAAAAGAAGCTTCAGCGGAAAAGATTGAACGTTCAACGTCCCCATTGTTCGGCCACGGCACGCAGTTTAAGGTAGTCATTTTTTATTTTTCTTTTTATTTTTTTATTGCTGATTTTGTTGTTCTAACTATTCTACATTTGACCTTTTTTTATTTAGGGAAATTTGCTGAAGATGTCGTGTTCGAGTCGACTGAGGAATTGGAAATGGAGCTTTGTTTATTTTAAGTTGGTCTCCAATTTTTAAACGTTTATAAAGTCAATTTTTAGCCTCGATTTTTATTAAATCAATCTTCAATTATATCTCAAAGTCATATTCCAGCTTCAAGCATGTGCCGAAAGCATGGTCATTATTGTTGCGGTCAATATAGCAAATAGAATTGATCTCATATCCTCGATGAGTGAAATAAAAACTTTCCACTACTGATGTGATAGACAGAAACGTAAGTATAGTTCTCTGAATGTGTGAATATTACAAAGAACTAAGAGAAAAGTTCATCTGCCACGTTTGTAGTAGAAAATTTTTATTCTGTCCACCATCAATCGGAGATAAGATCCCTAAAAACAAAATTGGCAAATTCAAGAGATCGTTTCTGACGACTTCATAGAAGAAAGCATTTTATTCACAACTATCAATTTTTTAGTACTCGTTTAAGATAAAATCCCAACCTAGATACACTAAATTTTATTTTCCTCAATATAATTATTCAAATCAAGTAAATGTTGAAGTATTTTTGAAGAATTGATTTAGTTAGAAGCGTTAAAAGGATATTTTGGGTAGTACATTATTATTATTATTATTATCAAAGAAGCCATGATGGAAGAAAGTTCGAAAGAATATTTTAAATATTATTACTATTATTCATGTTAACATAGTAAAGATAAGTGGTTAAGGAAAGTATGCATTATTCAACAACTTTAATTGTTTTTGAATAATGAGTCGGTGTTTCTATAATTGTTTTAAACTTAATGAGAGGTATGCGTTATTCAACTTGAATTAAAGAGTGATCTATATGAACGTTGAAAAATGGAAGGATTTCTTTGAAATTGACTTAAAACTCATGGAAGAATAAGTGTTATTCAAAATTTTAAATAATGAAGGTTTGTAAAAATTTTGAAAATTGAGGAATATCTCCGAAATTATTAGAAACCTCCTCAAAGATAAGTATAATTTATTCAAACTTAAAGATCGACCAAGCTATTGAGGCAACGAAAACATGATTTAGATTCTAGAAATAGACTGAATCTATTCCACCTGGAGGGACTTGACTTGTTAGTTCAACAAAGGTTTCTAGGCAAAGGCGTAGTTGTCGGCTCACGTAACTGACTTTAGCATTGAGTTAAGAAAGACCGAGCTAAAATGACTAGAATAATGACACATATATAAAGAATTATATAATTGTTTACATATAAATGATGTGTCAAAATGAGAGTAGAGAATTTTTTTATTTGGGTGAAGAAATTCTGACTAATCATATCTCATTACATCACATCATGTGTATATAAATAATGAAATGTGCTACAGGTACATAAGGGTGTACATAAGGGTGTCCATAATGGACACCCGGCTCCCTCCCATTTGAAGGAGTGCCAGACCCACCAACACTCCATCCAATGGGAGGGCGTCTGGTGTCCATTATGGACACCCTTATGTGCACCTTTGTGTACTTCTAGCATTTATTATGTAGTATGTACATGTAACATAACTGAAAAGACTAATGGTCATAGTGTTAGGAGCGGCAAACACGATGTCATTGACTCATCCCCAAGACTAGTTATGGGGTGAGTCGAGCTAAAGCTCTTATACAAGTTGCTCGTGAGCTTAATAGCTTGCGAGCCAATATAAAATTGGATGCTTTTGCAGTCTATAAGCTATCGAGTCATCAATGGTCATGTGTTGTTGATAATTTGATGTATCATCGTACCTTATCTAGGAATATCAATGTGGCTCGCCGACTCGAACGATCCTTGACTTAGCCAGAGAAAAGCCTGATCCAGCTCGTGGCTCGAGCTGATGCCCCAAAATTGGGGCATCGACTAGAGCCCAAGCTAGCCCGTGTCACGAGTTGAGCCTTAAATTTTTTTTTTTTTTTTTTGCCAACACTCCCTCCAATGAATGGGCACCATGTGTCCATGATGGACACCATTATGGTGCCCATTATGTACCACTAGCACATCCCTTATTATGTAGTATGTACATGTAACATAATTGAAAAGACTAATGGTCATAGTGTTAGGAGCGGCAAACACGATGTTCATTGACTCATCCCCAAGACTAGTTATGGGGTGAGTCGAGCTAAAGCTCTTATGCAAGTTGCTCGTGAGCTTAATAGCTTGCGAGCCAATATAAAATTGGACGCTTTTGCAGTCTATAAGCTATCGAGTCATCAATGGTCATGTGTTGTTGATAATTTGATGTATCATCGTACCTTATCTAGGAATGTCAATGTGGCTCGCCGACTCGAACGATCCTTGACTTGGCCAGAGAAAAGCCTGATCCAGCTCGTGGCTCGAGCTGATGCCCCAAAATTGGGGCCTAGAGCCCAAGCTAGCCCGTGTCACGAGTTGAGCCTTAAATTTTTTTTTTTTTTTTTTAAATTGCAGGTAGCTAGTTTTACTGTTTATATGATAATAATAAAAATCGAGCCAAAAGTTCGGTTCGAGTCTAAATTTTGTGGCCAAACTTTTGTTCTGCTCCGGCCAAAAAAAGCCACCGAACCATTTTTTACTCGAGCCGAGTCTGAGCTTTGAGGTTCGGCTCGCGGCTCAGTTCGGCTAGTTGACACCCCTAACCTTGTCATTTTGAATTCAAAGTTTTTCTTATTATTTTAAAAATTTGTCTACTTATAAATTTCTGCAATTTCTTCTACTTACAAATACTCCAAATTATTCAGATTACTAAAATTGTATTGAGCGAACAATTACAACTTGACTCTCACAACAACATCAACATCGACATCAACCTACATTTGATGAGTAAATCTTAAGTACCATTAATCCCACTCCCATAACCATACTCAAAATGGAATGCACGAACTTTTTTATGAATGGTACTGAAATAATTGTAATACCGTCTACCTAGCTCCATTCGCTTGTAGAATTAAAATAGTCAATTTTTTCTAATTTTTTTCTTTAAAATGATATTTTTCACTTCGATGGTTGATCATTAAGAGAAAACCATTTTAAAAACGTTCACATACATGCCGGTTCAAATACGATACCCAAAATTCTATGATAAAGACCAAACAAACAACAAGAAATCGAGCAAAAGGAAAAGCAAGGGACCATCATCAATCATCCTACTCAATTGTCAATAGAACAAAATAAAGATTGGTTTGCAATTGAAAATCATAGCTTTTTTAAATCAATTATAATTTCTAAATTTCCTGCGAAATTCATGGGCACGTTGCCATTTTTACCCTAGTCAAAGTGTAAAGTCCCAAAGTGCTTTAACATGTTTGTTTCAAAAAGGAAAAAGAAGAAGAGAGGAAGCTAAAGAGAAAGAGAAAGGACCACCCAAAAAATTCGGCCTCTAAAACGAAAAATGTGACCCCAACATTCCGTTTCTTTTTTGACAGAAAGGGACTTGTGAAAAATAATTGTGGTTTGGTCCACTCCTTAAAGTTAGTTGAGAAGTAATTCAATTCTTGCCTTGTCTCTGTCCTATGCACACTAGAAATAGATTCACAAAGATTCTATATAATACAATATTCAAATTCTATTGGTGGTGAATGTCGCACTATAATTGAGATGAACTGCCTAAAGGTCATGATCTACTATTTAGGTAGGGATGTTAAATGAGACGAATCGAATGTAAGCACGTCGCCTCAACAAAATTGAACTCAGCTCGCCCCCCACGAGCTCGCTCGTCAACTCTTCCTTTCAAGCTGAAAATGACACTTTTAACTAAAATGTGAGCCGCTCGTGAACTTAAGGCGAGCTGGCTTGTATGAGTGATTCGCTATTTGGCTCACGCTCACAACTCGCCTGGGGTGCCAGAACCGTCGCTCAGTTTAGCACCCTCTACGAGCACGCCTCCTTAAATGTCATGTTCTTTACAAATAAACGATAATTAAAAATGGCCCGCTTGAACTACCAAACTTATGAAGCTTTGTAGCATGTACCAGAGGTGGTCTAGGCCATGCTGGCCGCTGGGCTTTGATGGTGGAATCTCATCTTACATGTCCATGGATTAGTTCGTTACACTGAGCTTATTTGGCTAAGCATAAAAGTTTCACTTAAAAGTGAATAAGTAGGTTTTGAAAAAAATAATTTTTTTGGGTTGTTGAGATAAATTAGCTGGATTGGGCCTCAATCGTATGTGATTTAAGTGGGACTGGGTCGAAAAATGGGCCTGAACCAAAATTATATCGGTATTCATCCTCCAAGAGCTGGACATCTCGTATAATTTTCGTAGTCTGTACTCTCACTGTTCGATAAATTGTCTCAGAGAAATCTGCCGCGAACCTCACCAGCTCCACCACGTGTTTCTGTGGACGATAGAGTTGTGGATCAGAATTTCATTGAGCTGTTATTGAAGATTTCTAGCTGCAAAGGTTTGATGACATTGTTAATATAATAATTATCGGTTTTGAATTGTCTTTTGGTTTGCTAAAATTGATTGAATTTGGTTTTTGGTTTTGAATTGAGTGAAATTGTGGTTTCTTTGAGTTGTAATCTGATAATTTTCAGTAAAAACATAAATCTGTTCATTGCCCACTGAAATAAAAATTTATACTTTTGGTTAATCTGAATAATTTCACTCATCTGTTGAAGTAATGTATTTTTCTTATAGTTTGTTTTAGGCTCTCTTATTGCTTGTGATTTCATATTAGTTTTATGTGGAATGGAATGGATGCTAGAAATGGTAGGATAGCCAGTTTTTAATATATTATTTCATCTAAAAGTTTTACTTACAAGTGTTCAGCCTAAAAAATACATGGATTGATGTAAATAAGCATGGTTTTTCATGTTTACAAATTTTAAAGTCCCTGGTTGTGTGTTTACAACTCACTGAATTGAAGAATATTCATATAGAAAAGACAGTGAAAGCAATCAGAGATGGGAAAAGTGTTTTTTTTTTAAATTGTTCAATGTTGTCACGTGACTCAATGTAAAAAGTTGATGTACGTGTAGCATGATTGCTGAAATATTAAGGAAATTGATTTCTCTGAGCTACTAGGTCAGACTTTGTGATCTTTTGCTAAAGTTCCAGCAAGTCACGCCAGAAACTGGTCATCCAGCTGATGAAATTCTTGTATGTATACTTGCTAAGTAAACATAAAAGCTAGTCAAAAATTTATAAGCATGACAACATATAACTTTTGGTTTCTAAAAATGCTACAATCACCTATGATTATATATATGTGTGTGTGCGCTCGTGCGTGCGCGAGGCACCAGTGACATGTCATATTAATTCATTGGTAAATAAAGATTTCGTGGTCTCAACATTTGAATTAAATTTTTTATCCACCAATGAATTAATATGCCATGTCACCAGTGCTTAGCATAAGATGACCAAACTTATTAATCTTGGTTCTGCCCCTGCATTCACTTAAACACTAATTTTCATTTTTGCATCAGGAATCAGTAGCCTCGGCTACACACTCATGAAGCGTCTATTGTGGAACTCCATTCCCACTTTGAGATTCTATTCATCGTGGTCACAGAATGTGCTCAAAACCGGAAACATTCTAAAGCAAGCCAGGATATTTTCAAATTCCGACATTATCGGATATTCAAAGCTGACAAGTGACTCTAATCCGTTGCATTTTGACCTCGAGTGTGCCAAAAATGCTGGTTTTGCTGATCTTCCAGTTCCCGGAATGCTTGTGGCTTCTTTGTTTCCTCGAATTATTGCTTCCAATTTCGTAAGTAGTCCTCTGTTCTTTCCCTATCACCCCGAAATATTATTTGTACACTTCACTTAACTGTAAGCAAGTCCAATGCATTGCTTAATCAATGACGAAACATTATCCCTCTTATATGATATGTGTACTAGACGAGTGTAGCATACATACATCAATACATTGCAATTTTGTAGCCAGGGGCTGTGTATGTGAAGCAAACTTTGGAGTTCAGGTCACCATTGTATTGTGGGGAGGAGATCACTGGGGAAGTACAGGCAAGCAATATTAGACAAATGAAAGATAAATATATGTTAGTATTTTGTCTACTTATGTTAGTATTTGGGCAAGCTTATGATGCCCTATCATCGTAGAGTTTGACATCTTACTGAGTGTTAAAAATTGATTAATTGGCATTTGTCCTTGTTCTTTTAGGGTGAAATTCACTACAAAATGCTTCAAAGATGGAGGAATTCTTGTAGTTGATGGCGAGGCAACAGCAGTATTGCCTACTCTGGCCATGAAACAAACTTGAGGGATACTGCAACATTGAACAATGCCGTCTATACGGTGAAATTGCACCATTTCCAATCCATTTTTATTGACAATGCTGTCTATAACTTTTTAATTTTGTAGCCATTTGGTCCTCAATGGAAGATTGCATCCATTTGGATGTCGACAACGCACTTTTATGGTATATAAATGGATAAAAACTTATTTGATAGAAAATAAATAGAATGAAGAGAGAAGAAAGGAATGCTAGAAAAAATAATTAAATCAAACCCCCTCCCCCCATCCCCACCCACAAAAATAATAAGAATATAAATTTGTATTGAAAAATAAGAGGAAAAAATAAGAGGAGATATGAGGGTAGGACTCATCATCTCTAATGAATTGTTATTTAGGTGACACGTAAGTTGAAAGACTTTCTATTTAATAGAATAAATTATATCTACATTCAACAGTGTTTTATTTTCTTAAAATAAAATCACATTTAATGGTACATAAGAAATATAACTAGAATGGTCAGTAGGCCATGCTCAAACAGGGGGGACGATGTGGAGCTCCTGTATAGGCGCCGCTTGCAGAGCCTATAGGGGGGCGCCACGTTGCGCCTCGGCTTGAACATGGCCTTGTTCAAACAACATTATCCATATAAATATGGTTGAGTGGTTGTCTAACCGAGCTTCTTAATATAGAAGTAACTATATGCATGATATCTCTTTTTCATTGTCATGGCAGAACTTTTTTAAACATTATTTGTTTTGCATATCTTTCTATATATAAAAAGTGCCTATTTAACGGAATTTGTTGGTTTAACGGAAAAACTAACGGAATTTGTTATTTTAACGGATTATGTAACAGAATTTCTTGTTTTAAACAGGCAGCTGCACCTTCTTTCAATGTTTTTATCATAACTTTGTATTTCGATGTTCGATTGAGGCGATTCAAAATGCGTTGGAAAGCTAACTCATCTGGCTACAACTTTGATTCAGACATCATTCTCCAATTCGATCACTTTCTATGCCAAAAATAGGTCTCAATATAACGGACTATGTAACGAAATTTCTTGTTTTAAACAGGCAGCTGCACCTTCTTTCAATTTTTTTATCATAACTTTGTATTCCGATATTCGATTGAGGCGATTCAAAATGCGTTGGAAAGCTAACTCATCTGGCTACAACTTTGATTCAGACATCATTCTCCAATTCGATCACTTTCTATGCCAAAAATAGGTCTCAATATGAGACTAAAACATCGGAGCATAACTTTTCGGTTGGAAATTGATTTGTGATCATCTTTTGACTAAATTTGATCCCATTGACATCTTCCTTTATCCAATTGACTCCGAGCACTCTCAAATCTTCATCGTGAGATTCGGCACAACTTTTAAGTATTTACATTTTAGCCCCCGAACTTTGGATCCCTTACAATTTAGCCATTTCTCCAAATTTGTCTACTTTTGCTTATTTTCTTCAATCTCACCAACCTACATCACAATATCAAAATCACACATCTAATTATTTATCAATTACATAAACATTACATCATTAATTATTTATAGGGTGTCTGTTTCTACTTTTCAGCAGAAATCAAGCCGTTGGCAACACAATTCATGCCGTTGGGTGCTGCAATTTTGGACCAATTCTCTCACTGTAGAACTGTAGGTTTGAAAAAAAAATGGTAACATAATCAATTTTCCTTCCTCCTTGTTGGGCGCCCAGATACGCCCTTAATTAACCAAAAAAAATTACATCTTTATTAATAACAAATTAATTATTAAACAAAAATATTAAATATAAACTAAGCAAACGTGCATTGCACGTTGCTTGCACCTAGTATTAAAAAATATGTTATGACAATCTACTAAAGCATTGCAGATACTCTAGTGAGTTGAAGGGCGACTGAGGCTTGGTTTGGAGGTTGTCTGGGGCCGGTAGTGGTGGTGTATGTTATGCTAATTTTCCTTTTTTCCTTCTCCTTCTCCTTATCCTTGTTCTTTTCTTATTTATTCTCTCTCTCTCTCTCTCTCTCTCTCTCTCTCTCTCTCTATTATTTATTTATTTATTTATTTGTGAATTAAGTGTATAATATAATCACCTTTTCAATTAATAAAATTAAATTTTCAATGGTCAAATTAATGTAATCCATCTATTGATGACCGTGTTACAAAACCACAAGGTTCCAAGAAAGATAAGATAGGGACTAAGTTGCAACAAGATTGATATGTTGGGACATAATTGTATGATTTTTCTTATAGTGGAAAGAAATGATCTACTTGTTCTCATTCCATAATTACATCATTTTCAATATTGTCAAATACATCCACAATATATACAATTGAACTATTATTCATCCATTGATATGAGCAAAATAAGAAGTCATAAAGGAAAGAGGAAAAGAAACGAAGAGGGTTTTGCAAACCTAAATTTGATTTTTGATTTGATAAAAAAACTAAAATAAAAAATCAATTTTTTGTTGAAAGTTTGTGGGTCATGTGACCCACCAGGATCCACTGTGGGTCCACCAGTTCATGAAACCCAACAGAAATTTCTCAATGTAATTGGTTTTGATAAAAAAGTTATTACATTTATGATCAAGATATTCACTTGCTGCACAAGCTAACATATGTAAAGAAGAATTAAATTATTCAGAGAGTCATTCAATTGTATCACCAGGTGCTAACAATTGAGATCAGAGAAAAACTTGCAGCTGTTGAATGGCTTCCCCATGCTACAGAGATAAACTGGTTGGACATGGTCAATGGCCTATTACCATTCTGTCAATTGTAATCATCTGCTGATTCCAAATGCACATCTGGAGTAACCAGCCACCTCTTCTTTTTTGTCTTCAATGTCGGACAATCTGAATAATAATAATAATAATAATAATGTAACAGGCGAATGCATTTTTTAATTCTTAAACGATTGGAATGGGATCTAATATATTAGAACTTAATCTTTTGTCGTTCCAAGATGAATTTAAAAATAATGATCAATCCCAACCAGTGAGAAACTTCGGTCTTGTGCAGTAGAAAGTTCTTCGAAGAAATCATAATGCCAGACGAGTATGCTGCAAATGTGGATTTATAGATGCAATATTGCAAGTGATCTTAATCTCTTGTGATGGGGGATAAGGGGCAAAACACGGGATAGAAAAATGAGCTGAACCTCGTAGTTTCATGTTTTCTGTTAAATATTTATTCTAACCTTGGTATTAAAATGAGTTTCAGCAAGTAGTATTGTGCAGGAAATTATTTTGATTGGAGAAGTTGATAATTACCTCCTTCGGGATATATTGAGTTGTAATGAACCTCAGCCCAAAAGCTCAAGAAAATAACTGCACGTCAACATAAAGCCAGTGGGATACCAAACAAGTTTAATTCAACGAAACGAGGACAAGAAAATGAATTAAAAGATAATTGCAAGATTCTTTCTTTTCTTTAAGCCATGGGGACAGGTTACTGAGAGAAGTTTTTGTTGTCAACACCAAGATAAATATGGAAGCTGGTAAAGAAAGAAGATAATGCTAAAGATATGTTCCCAATACCCTCAAAGCAACCAAGGCGATCAATAAAACAGCGTAAAAGAAACAAGAAATGACAGAGGGCAGATAAGCTGCATTATATATGAAGATATATTTTGATCAATCAAATCAACTCCATCATCCATTTTAAAGTAAAACTAGATAATGAAGTCGAGTGAAAAAGTACCTCGTTCAGACTTTTGAATGTTTGGGAGTATCTCAATGTAACAGGTGTCCTCAAATGATGTTATGACAAGTATTTTTACACCATACTGCAGCAAGTCATTAGTAATCATAAGACTGCAAGAATTAGTATTCTCAAAAGAACCAAATGGCTAATGTCATAACTTTCGAGTCAATAAATAAAGATCTTGATTTGTGTAATGTCAATTTTGGATTCATTTCTAGATGATGAAATTACCACGTATCATATGTATCAACACGCATAGCAAATCCACCTGTGCTTTTCAGAGGATAGTTAAGAGATTACGAAAAACTATTGATGCGCATCAGTTTCTACAACCTACTCTGTTTTTAGCCAAACTCTTGCTTAATGTTCAACTCTCGGTATAGAACATCAAAGGACAACTTTTTCTCAACTAGTATGAAATAATGAAGTTTTTTGTAAGGGCCAACTCGAGCAAGTGGGGAGTGCACCAGACAGAACTCCATGCAAGATGAGCCAAGTTGTTTTGGTCCTTGTGGCCTTCGAATCCCAAAAAATTAATGAAACTTTCAACCAAATATCATATCGTTAGTAGGTTTCACAACAATCTTCCATCGAGCACTGCAGATCACAATACAACCATATATTGTTGCTCATTCACTTGATAGAAATTCCATATCTACTTCCTCATTACTCCCCAACCTCCCGTTTTAAATCCCTTCTTCCTTCCATCTCCTTCAAATATATTTCAATCCCTTATTTTACCCATCTCAAATATTCTAAGGATTAACATGGAAGAAGAGTTGAAGAAGTCAAAAGAGCAGGAAGAAGCATAATAGACATCAATCATCATGCACGATGTAGAGCAGAAAAAGTAATAAGTATCCTACATAAATAAAAGAGTTACTTTGGTGGTTACTCTTCATAAGCCAAGTCGAGCCGAGCCAAATGGCTTTATGGCTTGGTTCGGCTAA